AGAACTAACAATCTTAATTCAACTAAATTCGCTTTAAGGTGAATGCAATTAATGATAATTAAATAATTAGGCTAATTAGTGACCAGTAATAGATATGAGATAACGCTATTGTGACCAACTTGCGTGCCTAGACTGTTGTGGCAATTGCCTCGTGTAAAAGTGCGTTACTCGAAAGAAAAAACTAATTTTAATATGTGTAAAATCAAGTTCGATAACAATGAGACAACCGGACGCACTTTACATATTTAGTATTAATTTAACGATGTAATATTTTCAATTAAATCCGGTGCTTGTCTATGGTTTTAATTCTAGGCCGTGATATAATCTTATACAATTTATACTTAATTTTTTTTAAATTTATTATGGTAAATTGCTACAAGTCTTTCAGCCAAAAAGAATACAACAAACGTTGCTACATTATGTACAACTAAATTACTACTGTTATTATTTAGGGAAGGCTCAGCAGTTGACTTGTGAAGGGCTATAATGATAATATTATTCCTACTAAATAAAACTACACTATATTTCAGAGAAAATAAATATTATGTTAAAAATTTCTTCATAATAATGCTAATGCGTCACATTGTGATGTTTTTGAGAGATTTTGATATGCGTAGCAGCTTAAGCCAGCAGACAGTCTACGACGATAGTAAACCTAGTTCTCAAGGCGCCTGAGCAGAAAAAATTACTTGAGATTTATATCACTATAATAACATTTGATTCATCGTTTCCACTAATAGATCAGATGTTGAGTAGACATTTAATACACAAAACTGCGTTACTATATGTATATTAATCCCCTACAATTATTTAAACGATAACACAGGAGCAGCGATCCGCCAGCGGTAAAGTTCATGCCTAAACCTCATAGGATTACTACAGTATTGGGGATATAAGGGGTTACGTAAACTTAATCGTCAAATATCGGTCTCACCTTCAAGCATTGCACTCTCTTACATTAGTTGTCAATATAATCAAGATGAGGTTGTAGGGATGATGACGCGTACGACGCACGAAAATATATTTTCTTATAGTACTTGTTTTTTAGTACATCATAATAGATAAAATTGCTTATGAAAACGTGGACAAATAAAAGACTCAATAGACAGATTAATAATAGTGCAGATATTAGTAATCTCCATACTATGTCCTTATTTCTAATAAGTATTTTTAATAAAAAGTAAATAAAATATATTGTGTCTCATAGCTTTATTTTATGTTTTACGTATATTAAATAATAATTGCAAAGATAAATGAAAATAATTAAACAACAAAAAAAGAAGTTTTAGTGGGATCGACGGACAAATAAAGATAGCGATCACATTGAAATCCAACTGCAATTATAACAAGGAAAGCGGTCAAACAAATGATTACGAATGCGAGGAGTCATCGATGCTTAGATAGGATTGACATCGTTCGGGATAGGAGCGAATGCTCGCGGCGGCGGGACCCGTTCGCAGCCCAGTGGCTTATAATTAACACGGTGCAAGTTTTATGTATCGATTAAAATCTAAGCTTTCGTCAATAGAGGCTCTCGTAGCGGCCTCGCTGATTGCTTATCGTTGATTAATAGCGATTGAGATTTTCGCTGCGGCCGTATAATTAGAACAAAGTTAAACGCAGCATCGAGCTGCGTCGCTTTCGACAAATCACCGAGTGGTCATTTGATGTTCACAATATCAGATATCATACTTCTATAATTTGTTTCAAATTATCGGTTATCTGCGATTCTTGAGTAGGCTTCTTTAAAATACAATAAAAATAGATATTCCATAAATTTATGAATTATTATTATTTATCCGACAAAAATTTATAAATTTATTTGTAAGTATTATAAATGTGAAAGAAAGCAACTTATGATATTATTTAAAATTTACCGTTTTAAAAAAAATTGTATGTATGTTTATGTATCTCTCTGCTTGTCCGGGCTAACCTTCAGAATGGCTGAACCAATTGTTATCAAACTTAACAAAAACATAGAGAGCAATGCCAGGAAGGATAGCTTTGTATATTTTATCCGAAAACATACAAGTTCTTTTTTTAAATTGAAGAAATAAATGGTCTTTGATAATCTTAAATCTCAGTAAAAGCACATTAATATACCCTGTCCATGCGAAGCCGGGGCGAGTCGCTAGTAAGATATAAGGATGGGTCGGACTCTTTAGACCATTAAATAAAATATAATTAAAAATTAAATATTGTGTACAACGGGCTTCAATATAAATTATTAAGAATAACTAAAAAACTATTCGTTAGACCTTAATCAATATATGGGACCACATGTGAAGCACCGGCTTTCAAATAAAAAAAAGAATCATCGAAATCGGTTCACCCAGTAAAAAGTTATGAGGTAACACACATAAAAAAACATACAGTCGAATTGAGTATACCGGCTCCTTTTTGAAGTCGGTAGAAAATACTAAAATTGTGAATGAAATGTTTATAAATGATACATTATCATAATATAACCAAAAAGTAACCAGCACTATAATCTATATCAGTTCTTAATATGATTGTGCACAATCATTTTTACACAATGGATGAATTTCCGGTTTGTACGTTAATTTTAATCACTCCATTATTACTTTGCTTGAAAAACCGTTACATTTTCTAAAATCAAGTACCGTTACAGCCTGTATACGTCCCAACGCTGGGCTCAGGCTCGCCCTCATTTCAGGGTTACGGAGCAGTTAGCCCGCGGCGCTGCTCCAATGTCTATTGACGGACTTCATATGTCCTTGAAATATGTTATTCCTCAGGCATGCAGGTTTTTTCACGATGGTTTACCTCAGTGCCGAGTACGTGGTAAATCAGCACTTAAAATTGCAATTAACAATTTCATTGGTGCCGGCGAGGATCTAACCCCGGTTGCGCACGTACTGTGAAATTTACAGCGAGCACATAACCCCTGAGCTACCACGGCTTAATTAATCAAGAAGAGTAGCTTAATTGTGGAAATATGATTGCCAATGTAGTTACATTTTTTTATAGAAGTACATGCAATCCAACTTAATTGTCTACATACTTACATATCTGAATCTATAAAATGAAATACAATTTTATTGGTGTTGTCGCGGATCGAACCCGGGCTACTCGCGTACTGTAAAATTTATGGCGACTGCTCAGCTCCTGAACTAATGTGGCTCTACAATTTACTCTTTTTAAAACCTCAAATCTATTGGAAATATTCAGAAATAAATGCTTTAAAGTATATAAACTTAGCAGTCGGCGCTATTAGTTGAACAGTACGTAACACTTACTGACCGTTCTATGTGGGCGGTAGAGTTATTATTGCAAATAACTTGGTAGCGGGCAGTAACGGACTGCGAGGCAATTCTTTAAAGATCATTCGTATAAATCAATACAACACTGAAGATTGCCCGAAGAACTATATATAAATAAAGAATACGCTAATTGCAGTGGAACTGATACGCGGTAGGCAGTCATTCCATTTATCAATTATTATTTGCGTTCAAGCGGATCAATGTTTTCTATCGCCTGTTATATACGGAATTTATATAATTAGCAGGTGAAGGTTTCGCTTTCTTGTATTAAAGACAAATAATATGAAACATTTATAATGTTATGCTGTTAATCTATGTAGTAATGTTACAACACTACATATTTTAAACCGCTTACGTATCAGATTATACGTTATCGGATTCACTGAGCATGGTTGATGTAAAATGACAATTTTGTACAACGAACTTCAATATAAATAAAATAAGAACATCATTAATGTAGTCTAAGTCAATTAAATACGCATTATTAAGGATAACTCAAAACCATTGGTCAGATCTTGATCAAATTTTTATAGATTTCAAATAAAAAAAGAATCATCAAAATCGGTTCACCTAGAAAAAGGTTCTGAGGTAACATGCATAAAAAATACAGTCGAATTGAGAATGTCCTTCTTTTTTTGAAGTTGGATGAAAAGGCCGTATACTTTTGTTAAATAGATTTGATTTTCAATAACATAGTACGTAACTGTGACTGACCTTTCTAGGTGATTATTGCAAATGCCTTATGATAAGCAGTAAGGGTACAACCTGGAGAGAGCTGTTTCTTTTACGGACTCATTTATTAAACGATAAAACGATGAAATAATAACATAAAACTAAGGAGACGAAGAGGACAATAATGCAACAAGATTATCAATAAAGCTGCAATTATTATTTGCCACCGCCCAGCGGTTCAGTGAGCTGAAATCGTCCATCCATATAGCTCGAAAAACTGACAATCGATGAGGAAGAAAGGTTCCCGAGAGGTAGCCTGGTATTGAAACGCAGTCTGATGAAACACGCACAGGTAGTCGATGGATGCAGGCAGCTCAGGACCGTGCTTCGTAGTAAGCTATATAGGCAATATTCAGCAGTGCACTTGGGATGTGCTATAGTGCTAGTGATAGTGTGATTATTTGCATTTATTGCCTTTGACTATTAGCTTGGCTCCCCTCCTGCTACCTACGATGCTTAGACTGAAGATGTAGTTATCCGTTTGAATCCCGCGTCGATCCAAAATCAGTTACTGGGGTTTCTTGTCGTGAAATACTCCGTATAAGGCCAGATTCAGGGAGTTGGCAGTATTTTACCCTTGGACCTCGGAAAGCACGTAAAACCGTTGGTCCTGCGCCTGATCTGTCAGACTGCTTTCCCATCGGACTATGAGAGTGACGTTATAGAGTTTTGTGTTTGCGCATACACTCGTGCTCTATAATCCTGTCCTAAACCGATGGATAGTTTCCTTTGAGACTGGCCGCCGCACAGTGACCGAACACATTTAAAGACTTAAGCGTAATGAAGGACATTATTACTTCGCCTTAATATTGACCTAACTTTAATCAGTGTCTTTGAATTGCATCAAAATCGTAGCGCCAGCTCCTTCGGTAAATTGAGAGCTAAATTGTAAGCTGCCAATTAAATTGAAAATTACTTGTAACTTTTATAATTCTCCAACTGCTTTAGTAGGTAAGTCTTGATAGATTTATTGTTAAATCTTACCGAGTAATTTGGTAACAGCACCTTGCTGGGATAGCACGTGGTGTGCAATGTCGTAGTGCCTCAGTCCGAATCGGGATAACTCCAATAATCTTTGTTGCGACAGTAGCGATGAAAGCGGATGAGAGGCAGCGCCAGGATATAATGGTGTCCCCGAGCCGCCGCCAGCGCCTCCACCGCCAGACGATGCTGGCGATACTGGAACTGGAAAGATGAATTTAACTTGTATTACGTAATATTTGAATTGATTCATCCACATTCTTTGAGACAACAATTCATACGTTTTTGTAATTAACTATTAGCGACATTAAATTAACTTTGAATAGTACTTGAATGATATAAGCTGATTATACAATCTATCCCAAATATAAGACAAAAAGATCATATCGTATCATTCGTTATAATTATAGTCTAAAACACACTAATTTTTACTCATAATAGTTGATCTATTTAAATAAATAAAATTGAAGTATCAGTCTGTAACATTATCGAGGCTAATCTTCGAAATAGCAGAACGTATTGTAATGAAACTTTTCGAACAAATGAAGAGCAATACCAGGAGGTATCTGGGCTAAATTTTATCCGAAAAACTTGAATATTTAAAGTGGTCTTTGATGATGTTAAATGTAAATAACGCCACAGTAATAGATCCTATCCAGGCGAAACCGAGGCGGGTCGCTAGTCTAGCTATAAAGCAGTTGTACACCATCCTGTGCTGGACAGAGGCCTCTCAATTTTGAGAGGGTAATTGTAATGTACCTACAATTAAGCCGCCGTGCTACTCCAGTGCGTGTTTGCGCATGTGAATACTTCGAAATATTTTTTTCATTAGACATGCAAGTTTCCTCATGATGTCTTCATTTACCGCAGATCGCATGGTAGATCAGCAATTGAAAATGCAATTAACAATTTCATTGGTGCAGGCGGGATCGAATCCGAGTTGCTCGCGTACTGTAAGATTTAGCCCTCCCAGTGCCAATACGGCTTTCTTAACAAGTAGTATGTATTCAAATCACAAAAATAAAGCTGAAATTTCACAAAGTCACTACAATCCCAAGTATATATTATATGCTAACCCAGCACGTTGATGCCACAAAAAAAATTAAATTTGGAAGGGTTATATTGTTTAAATAGGAATGTTATTATATTCATTAATATTGAATGACATATTATGACTTTCAAATTAATATGACAGTATGACACGCGCGCCACCTACTGTTATTTATTTGTGCTATGCCTATAACCTTCTCGCAAGTGCAAGCAATAAGTTGACAAAATTTTAGCGATGAACAAACAAAGTTAATTTTTATATATTAGATTATTAAATTCTTCGTCGACATGTTAAATGCTACTGCTGCTATTGAACGTCAGCCTCTATTATTTTTATAACAACCATTTTTTTTGGAGTTTATGGCCTGGTATCTAGACCTTTAGGCCATATAACAACCATAATAACATATTAGAGTTTAGAACATTAATATTTATATTTAATGATGCCACCAAATATTAGTTAATGGGCGGCCCGTGTTGCTTTATGAATGCGACAAATTGTGATAGACAAACCCTTGCTTCTTACGTGTAAATAATTGATGCACTGCACAGATAGTTAATAAAGCTAATGGGATTAGTGAGCAATCACACATGTCAATGGGTATTAAATAAATAGGATATTTCAAAGGCTTAAGCATAGCTCGGAAGTAATGGTAACAAAATAAGCTTCGAGACAATATTTTTCTTACTATATTTCTTATGACTTATAGTGTAAACAATAGCATTCTTCTAGAGATTAATATATATACGGCTACAAGTAGGAACATTATGTCAGGCCTAATTATCACTATAATCAACGAGGCATTTCATATACATAATTCATAGATGTCTGTTTCACACAAAGACCTTCAAGAAAAGAGCTTGCTCTTTCAGTAAAAGGCCAGCAGCACACCTGCAATTCCCCTGGTGTTGCGGTTGTTCATGAGCGGCGGTAGTCACTTACCATCAGGTGAGCCGCTTGCTCGTTTGCCCCCTCTCCTATAAAAAAAATAAAAATAAATATTATAATAGTACTAGCTGTAAGCCTGCGCCTTCGCACGCATAGTTTTTAGTAATTTATTACCATACTTCCATATTTTAATCTGATTTTGTTCACAATTTCATGGGTTTTAATTTTTCTGCGTGAAATCCTAATTATTTTTCCAAAATAAAAGTATCCTAAGTTACTCCTTATAACATCAGCTATCTGTCAGTGAAAGTGTCGTCAAAATCGGTCCAGCCATTTCTGAGATTAGCTGTAACAAACAGACAGACAGACAAAAAATTTCTTAATAGATTTTTGCTATAAGTACCTACTGTATATACTTGCATATGCATCTAGTAAACAGCTGTTATTTTAAAATTACAAACAAACAATTCAATTTTATTATTTGTATAGATTAAAAAACGAAGCTTAAACACAACTAGCTACTACAGTGAGGTCGGGTAGAACGTAGGTACCATCCGTAATTTTGCGCATTCATATGGTATACTCACAACCACCTCCCGTACCCTCTACGTTACCTTGGCTACTGAGTAATGTTCTTTCCAAGAAAGACTCAATCCATAGAAATATCCTTTGTTTTTTTTTTTTTAAACTTTCGGGTATGATATACCTAACTAGCACGTAAAACTACAATTATCAATTTAATTGGAGTCTGCGGATAATTAACTCTTACTCTAACTTTACGCGAGTATAATATGATTCGCGTCTAACGTAGGCAAAAATATATTTTAATTCTTGTTGTTTTATTGAGTCCTGCACACCAATTTGCAATGTAATGAAAATATTTTATGCAAAATTTTTTTATCAATATAAATATAAAAAATTCTCAATAAGCTCGTTGTCATCATTTGTCATTTTTACATTAAAAGTAAGAATACAAAATAGGTTTAATGCATAAATATCAACAAATATTGCAACTCGCAACTTTGTCTGCACCAATAAGCAATAACTGCATACGTGCAAACGCATACCCCAAGGGCTTCCCATTAGAATTCGTTATTACTATCCATTACTGGATGTTCATTACAATATGATAAGTAATTCGCCGATTGGGTTTTATAAATAGCTTATAAGTTAATACTTACTTAAGTATATAGAAAATATACTTAAGTAAGTATAAGAAATTCAGCACAGTATTATACATATTTTGATGCTTACATCAGTATTAGTAATATTACGTACTAATATTCACTAATGTTCATTTACACCTGCCACAAAATCTCATCACTCCACGGGTTGACTGGCAGAGAATGCGGATAGGCATTAAACCCGCCCTTTGTTACCCCATTTATTAAGGTGTTAACAATAAGGGTGTTGCTAATTTGATTTTTACTCAACTTTTGTAACAAATTGTCTCCAAGATAGCAGTTTCATGTTTAAAATTTATTGCATAATGTTTCAATGTTCAGTGTTCAGTCGATTTATTCAACCGAGCATTATGTGATAATAGTATATGAGCAAGCTATATTTACGTTGTGGGAATTTCATATTGTGAAATCACCGTTCCCCATAACAGACTAGGTACGGCTTACGTTCCCTTTAATATTGTTGTATTATAATTTTTGTATTAAAATGATACCGAGAACTTACTGCAAAATCCATTAAAATTTTATAAAACCGTCGGCAATACAGTTTTGTAAGTACAAGGTTATATCAATAAAATTTTATACACAATCCGGTCCGTTAAGATGGTTCAGAGACAAAATTAAAACCCCTCGAACATTTTAGGTGTCGCGCACTCATCGTACTCGTATAAAGATATTTTTATCCGAGCAATTTGTCGCATACTGCGACCAGATACTTTAACGGTGATCGTAACAATACGTTCTCATGAATACATCGGGACACTTTCAATTATAAATTAAGCTATTAACTTAATATACTATAATTTGTTTATCAGGTTAAGCATCGAAATTAATGCAAGTGGCATAACTTGTTCATAACTTACCACTTTTTATTAGCGAGTCCACACGGCGCTTTCGTCAAGTAAAGTAATATCGAGGCTTTTGTTTTGCTCAAACGAATATCATCTTAAAAACAATGTCATAAAATATAGATTCCATTGGTCATTAACAATTGATCAAGCACTCAGGACTGGACTTCGACGTATAATTTCTGTTGTAATCGCTTTTATAATGGAAGAAAAAACCGATATTATCTACCCACGGTCAATAAATTAACACCGTTTAGAGCAAAAATGTGGATTCTTAGTGTCGCTACTAATATAAATAAAGGAAGCTCGAACTGGGCAAGGTTTTAGACGTTTCGTGTCTGTGAGTGCGTGTGTTTTTATTTGGGTGCGTGAGCAGCGAGGCCTTATTAAAATATTTCGTTTGGAAACTGGAAGGACCACTTAGTGCTGCGCGGGAGTTTCACGCCTGAACTGATACAACGTTAAGTCGACAAGATAGCTTATTTGTGCTCAGCAGAGGATTAGAGGCAATAAATCACTGATTAGAATGTATTGACTGGCATTGACTTCGGCGCACGATCTTCTTTCTTATTTAAACACCGCTAGCTTTTAGGCTTTTATGACTTCATTATTTTACTTCGATGTTCTTAAATAGATACGTATTTATGTACATAATTAACACAAAATGCAACCCGCATTATAAAGTCTTAATTAATCATGGATTATGACCATAAAGGGCAGGTATAATAAACTTAATGAAATTTATTAATTGATCAAAGAGTGTAGGTTACAAAAATATTAGCACAAACGGTGACATTATAGTTTTATGTGTAATTTTGATTCTTATTTCACCTGAAAAAGCATATAAATACAATATTATGGGTTAAGAGCGACGGCCGCGTTTGCCGTATGTGAAGTTGTTTTATGCAAGGAATAAAAAAAAGATTGGCATGTCCGTGAGTTTTGCCGATGTTAATGTCATCACGCGGCGTAAAATTACCGCCTTTTGTGCAAATTTTAATACAGGATCGAAAGTGTATTTGCGTGATAACCCCTTTGCAATTCGTAAAATGTAACATTAAACTAAGCTTCCATTGTTTATATGCATTATAAAGATAAAGATGAGTGCAGGTAAAAACCAGTTTTATGACTTATGATATGCAATTTAAGCAATACGAAATTAAATATGCCGTAAAATGCTACAGTTCTTGATGTTAATCGATCCTTGTCTGTAATATTTTGTATCAATTTTATAAA